GGGAAGGGGAAAGATTTTATTTTTTGGAAAAAAAAAGTGTTCCTTTCCCACTTGTATCACAGAGAAACAACAGTTTAAGTTAAGTCTAACGTTAACGTTAATCTGTTATTAACATATAGAGAACAGCCCTTGGCCCTAGGCCTAATTTAGGTCGTAACTGTTACTGTTTGAAAATCTAAAGTAAAATTAGACGGTTTTCATGGTTAGACCAAGTAATTGAGAAAAAAAAGTTTACCCGTCACTGAGACCAGGTCAATCAATCTTCTAGATCCATTATTAGGGACTAACGCTAGAAGATATAAGGTAGATGCAGGCGCGGATCCAGCGGGGGTGAGCGGGCCTTGCCCCCCCCCCCAAAGGCCTTTGCCTCCCCCGCCCCGCTAAAAAAAAAGAGAGAGAAGGAAGGACAAGGAAAAAAGGAGAGCTAAAAGGGACCAAAAAAGAAGAAGAAGAAAAAAAGGGTGAAAAGAATTTCGATGCGGTGTTCGAGTAGAATTCTGTGAGATGATGATATACTTTCTCGTAGCTTGATGTGACGAAGTGTCTCTATCCAGATATCTGTTGATAGTATTATAAAATATAGAAGCCTGATATGACCTTCTGCTCGTAACCGACACGTCACCGCATTAAAATTAAATTGCAAATAGTGTTCAACAACACGATGGTGGATGAAACTTTCTAATATTCGAAGATATATGACCTTCAGACCATATTGTTTCATTATTTTTTATTCAATCAATCAACGTCAAAGAATTGATTCATCATCGCACTTCAATTTATTATTTCACCTTTTAATGTACTTTCATTCTTATGCATCACGAAAGAACACTGAATTGGATTCTTCAATGTTTGTTTTGATTAATTTCCTCCCCTTTCCTTCTCCCTGTTTAATACTGATAAAAATTTTCTTAATCAAGACAAAATATTTTTTCATATTTTCTTTATGCAAGCCAGGGAGAGAGAGAGAGAGAGAGAGAGAGAGAGAGAGAGAGAGAGAGGGAATATGTTAAGTGAGAATTATCGAGTACAACTATGAATTGCATCCTTTTCAATATTATTCAATTTGCTGAAAATCTTTATTTTATAATTCCACGGGGGCGATTTTTAATTTTGCAATGGCCCCCGTGGACAACCTGATGGGGGCGATTATGGAGCTCACGGGGGCGAATCGCCCATCGCCCCCGTGTATTTTGAGCGCTGCTTGTGAGTAAGGATCCGATTATTCTGAAATAAAATGGAGAAGTACTCAAGATTAGTCGTAAACAAGCTGTTTGTTGTATAATTTCATAAATTCTTAATTCTCCCCCTCTCTCTCTTTCTCTCACTCTCTCTCTCAGTTTGTCACTCTTTCCCATTTCTCTTTCATTCTTTCTCTCCGTCTCCCTTTCTCAGTTTCTTTCCCTCAGTCTCCCCCTCTCTCTCTTTCTCTCTCATACTCATTCTCACCCTCCCTAACTTTCCGCATCCTCACTCTCCCTCTCTTACTTTATCTGTTGTATATGCCTCATGTGAAGCACACTTTCTCATTCATTTTTCAGTCATTTCATTCATCATCACTACATTCGAATTATGGAATAAAAAGATTTTCTTAAATAATATCCTGGGAATATTACCTTACGTTAAATCTTCTGTATTATTTAATTCATTCGTATTCTTATTGAACATGTACTGATTAGAAGAATTAGAAAGGCACTGTATAGGTTACTTACAAATCATGTGCTATTTCAGCATGAAATTATTATTTCTGTACAGTTTCAATCACACATTAAACGTTTCGGACATATTTCTAATCTAAAAATGTTAAATCACCATTTGAATGGACCGAGGAGTGATAACATTTTAAAACGTTAGATTGACACAATTTATTGAGATGCTGGATACAACACTAAAAAGATTATATCCACCACGACAAAAGTGCAAGCCTGTCATTCTGAAACTGTTCTCACTCCTAAACTCTCATTGTTTTTTTTTTTTATAGCGTTGTCTTTATACATACAATACAATATCATTATATTCTTGATCGCTATAATATTGTCTTGATGACAGCTAGTATTGCCAAATCGATATGGAATGATTGTATGTTTGCACAATATCACACAAAAAGAAGAACATGTATTATCACATGGTGATGATACAATACTGAGAGATATTAGTGTGTGTTTCTGTCAACTGTTCATCGGGGACAATATATTTCGTAATGTAACTAAATGTATGGCATATACCTTTGTGAAATTAGTGTGTTTCAATAGTCAGAATTCATATTGCATACATTATTTATTGCTAATAGTCTGTATGGCTTGCCCTACCTAACAACATGTAATATATGCAATTTGCATTCTGACTATTTAAATTCAATTATTCATAATAACCTAAGTGAATAAAATCTTCGTATCAAGGCATTTAAAGGTAATACAAAGTTTTGGGAAATTTTGAAAATTGGGTGGAGAGTGATTCTTTACAATTTTGATATATTTGGATGCGTCTGTGGATGTATTATAAGCACTAGAAATTTAGCCCCTAAAGTACTTCTGCTTTCGAGAAAAAATTGAAAATAAAAATTTACCGGTGCTCCCGGTAAATTTTGATAAATTTCAAATAGCGCCTACGGCCGTACAATGGTAGCTGCGACCATGAAAATCTCAGAATATGTAGTTGTGACATATAATTTCCGAACGGGAACAACTAATCGTATAGATTTTACTCAAGAAACATTTGTTTTATAGCTTAATTTATATCTTGGCCTTAAGAGGGAGCTATACAACATACAGAGTTTATTATTTACAATTTTATAACTTTAGACTCGATTTCATCCGCGACAACGATCACTGAATATTGTAGGACCGCATATGCGTCCAATATGTTCATTTGAACCAAATTCATGACCCCGTACCAAAACTTTGTATTACCTTTAAGTATAAACTTGGTTACATTATGAAAACGGCTTATTTCCCATCCATTTTTCACGGGAAACAAACTGAGCAAACAAAATGACAGAAAGCGAAAAAAAACAAAAATAACTCGCTTTTAGCCAATATACACCATCGGCCTTTTTATAAAAATAGTTCGTCACAGCAATAAATTCTTTCTTATTTCGGGGGTATGATATTCTTGCATTATGAAACTCAGTACAGTGATGATAAGCTATACATACATTGAGCGATATGCGACTTAAGGATCATAATCGTTAATCGTATTTTTTTTACCCGACATGGCAGCATCTACGAGACTACCCATTTCCTGTCTCTATGTTGTACCCTGTGTTTCACGTTTCATTCTTTTGGGCTCAATGAAGACAATACATGTAGATGCAGTAAAACAAAACCCGCATCTTAATATATTATTTTGACTGTAAATGTAAGTAATTACTTAATTGCTCTACTACAAAATTAAATTTAAATTAACAACAAAGTATTGCCGTATATGTTTACCACATAAAGTTTACAAAATGTAAATTACATTTCAGCATGGCAAACTATGATTGCTGTTCATATATATATATATATATATTTATATATATATATATTATAAGATATACATAAATAGAAGCTTTGAAATAGAAAATAAATATTCTTTCAGAAAACATAAACATGGAAGTATTCAATAAAATAATTTGTAAAAGAAATAAAGTAATTATAAACCAATTTTTAGATGAAATGGTTCCCTCCAATCATGCTATCATTCTTAAAAAGAGCATGGCAAAAGCTGAAGACACATACTCGTCTTCATGACCATGATTACTCTTAATGTTTAATAATACTGAACAAATAATGAGGTTATCATTGATTGTAAACGTAACATTAAAACAACAACCAAACAAACAAACATTAGTATAGGTATATCTATGTACAAGTTACAACACAAAATTACAGTCATATATTACTGTATAGAAATTTTTATTTTTATTTCCCTATTTCTGTTTTTCATATTCTCTCACACATACTCTCACTCACTCATTTTTCCTTTCACTCTCTCCCTATTTCTTATCTTTTAGATATTTCGTATAGAACTACAATCATGTACATCTGCAGATAAAGATGATCGCAAATGCAATTCAAATACTAAGACCCTATTGCATTACCTACACAAATCACGTCCCTAAATAGTTACGTAATCATATTCGGAGGGGGCGGGCGGGGGGGGGGGGTAGAGGCTCCATGCCTCCAAGGTGGACAGAACAAGACTTTTTTTACAGTACTGTATACAGATACCCTATTTGAGCTATATATACCCTGTTTATGTTATACCCTGTTTTTGTTATACCCTGTTTACAGTTACAAGTACACCCTTCAAATCAGGATTTGTGGAGGACTACTTCTATAGCACATACATGTAACCTATGTGATTTATAAAAAAGAATCATACATTATGTGTAGAATTATCCCCCTAAAGGTGAAAAAAACAAAAGTCGAATTATGTTATAATTAAATTTTAGTGGCAATTATTATGAGATAATATCGTTTCAAACAAAAGAAAGAATATTAAACGGTTTCTTATTATCACGACTCTACTCCTCTGTATGTGATAAATATGCTACCTCTAAAGATTACATCCAACGTATGAATATAGTTGGTGTTACAAACACAAGATGGTATCAGGAATAAATCATAATAGGAAAATAAAGTTGCGAATAATTTCTATTTACACGTTTACATGCAGCATATTTAGCACACGGGGATACTTAAAAATTATATCAAGTACACAGAAAATGGAATAGTCAATTTTTGAACAATAATTTTTGATATATATAATATGTTATTCAATTTTCACATACTTTACATGCAGTTATTCGGTCATAATATTTCGTATAATTAGAGAAGATAAAAAAGTTCTTTTTTGTCTTTTTTGAAATCCCATTCAGCTATTATAGCTGAATGGGATTTCAAAAAAGACAAAAAAAGAACTTTTTATCTTCTCTAATTATACGAAATATTATGACCGAATAACTGCATGTAAAGTATGTGAAAATTGAATAACATATTATATATATCAAAAATTATTGTATTAGGTCACTCCAACAAAGCAAAACTTTGTATTTCCTTGGTCTGAGAAGGTTTCAGTTGAGAGGAACGTCTTCAAATTCTTTTGCTGATCTGTAGCCGTTAGATTTAGAAACCTTATCATCAGCATCATCATCAGACTCTGAGACCATCTCTTTCTCTTGAGGAACCACGAAGAAAAACTTCTGAAGTATGAGGTTCAATGCGACTATAGAAAGACAAGAAACGAAGAAAAGAATATGTTAGATAAAAGAACAACGTATGACTCATGAAAAGTGCTCATTGCACTATAAGATTATACGCAAGTGGTCTATATTGAGGTAATCTAACATAGCAACATGACCTTCTTATTTGGATAAAGTCGTTTGTGGATGCTTATCTGGTGCTTGACGTACATTCCTTAGCATCTCGCTCGTTTATTAAAAAAAAAAAAAAATTGAATCCAATATTGACATGTGATTTATCTAGCCATGCCGTAGCAAAATGGAGAATGTGACACGTGGTATGTGTATTAATGTGATTTCGTCAGTAGAAAAAATAAGAGTATTTATTCAAACAGACCTACAAGTGACATCTTATAAATCGATTTTATCTAACTATTTTTGTTTCAATATAAGCATGTAAACCATACGCGATGATTCAATATTTAACATAGATCAATGTAATAAATTCGTATATGCGACAAAATAAAATATTTAAATACTAAAAATGATAACGGATCATTATTGGACGTAAACGGAGGTGCATGCTGACAAACTCAAAGCATGTATGGTGGATAATATAGACGTTTCGTTTTTGGAAATACTTATGCAGGCTATTTGATGCTTTACTAGATCTACAGCATTAAACTCATGTAATTGCACTGTTTCGTCAGGAGAGGGCAGACCACTTGTTGCTCACCTATAGAGCCACTATACATAGCGTTTGGCCAACCCGGTTCGAGATGGACACAGTATGGCGACTGCTGCTTTTTGGGGGCAACCACAAAACAAAAGAATATACGCCATGTTGTGACCCAATGAAACCAAGTTGGCCGAACTCGGTGTATCAATGGCTCTGTGCTCACCAATCTTTTCTTGTAACCAGACAGGCTTGTTCCAAACACAACCCACAAAGTAGACTGGTATTCCTGCTACGGTGAGAGCTGTTCCTATCAGAGCACTAAAGGGATCCGTGTAGACAGAGAGACCCATCAGGAACAGGATCACCAAGATGAAGATGATTGGTATCACCAGAGGTAACTAAAGCAATGCAAGAAAGGAAACAAGATAAAGATGATTGGTATCACCAGAGGTAACTAAAGCAAGGCAAGAAAGGAAACAAGATAAAGATGATTGGTATCACCAGAGGTAACTAAAGCAATGCAAGAAAGGAAACAAGATAAAGATGATTGGTATCACCAGAGGTAACTAAAGCAAGGCAAGAAAGGAAACGAGATGTAAAGATGTGAAGGTATATCAACATCACATTCAGCAATACAGAATTTCATCGAATACAGTAGTTTCGTATGTTTTATATATTTTCCCAATTGCTTTGTACTCATCATCATCATTGTCACCACCATCATCATCATCATTATCATCCATTTCAACGTTATCACCATCTTAAATCCTTAAATTCAATCATAATCATCAATATTGTTATCATCATCATCTCCGTCATCATCATCATCAACATCGTCATCCCTTTCGATATCATTACAGTCCTGATCTTACCTTAAGTGTTCTCTCCATGTTAGGATGTTTCCATCTGTAATACGGGATGATGAGCACCGTGAGAGCCATGAAGGCTACGATCACGAACAGCATGTAGTTGATCAGAGCTATGACGTCATCAAACATCAGGTAAATTAACGTTATCGGTAACTGTTATTCAGAAAGATGAAAAGATAGCAATTTGTTTATTATCGGTGAAATGGCAGGTTTTGTATGATTGACATGAAAAATGTGTTGGGAAGAGAAGAAGAGAAATAGAGAAAAAGATTAACAGCACAGACAGACAGACAACAGTAATGAGAGAGAGGGAGGGAGTGAGAAAGAGAGAGAGAGAGAGAGAGAGAGAGAGAGAGAGAGAGAGAGTGACCTGAATTACTGGATCAGCAGGTCATACAACTGTAGATCTGAGATCTGTCACCTGGTAACAGGAAGGCCTTAGGTTCAAACCGATCATATAGTACATATACCTTCAAAGCAACAATCTTTATTGCCAAGTCCCTTGGATAGAAAGTAGAATCCCTAGGTCTCTTGGTTGTCTATCTTAAAATAGGCCAACCTGCCCTCCCATCAAACATTATAGAAGCAATACATGTATATTACATACACATACCGTGTTGTTGGTTATAGTTTAATTGCTCTTGATTGCCTGATTAAGAGCAATTATTTAGTTATTCTGAGGAAGTACGTAAACCACTTGATTGGCACATCAGAGCTCTCGTGAGAGTCTGCTGTTTCAGCGCATTGAACGAATTTGTTAATGTTAAGTTTGGTTCACATTTGCAACTCACATAAGAAACATCAATACGGTATGCATACATTTTTTAAATGATTTATTTTATTAATTGATAACTCACCACGATGATAACTGATGGTATTGGAGTACGATGTTTGACACTGATCATTCCAACAACGCTGGGTAGGAGGCCCTCTCGTGCTGCCACATAGAACATTCTATCAACAAACGATAAACAACAAATATAATTATTTTGTTGCTGATGTGGCGTATATTATCATTGCCTCCAACATATGTGTGTACTATCTGTATTCTTCCTTGTCCACTTAAATGAAAACAGGCGAGATTGAACATTACCTAACCTTTTGACATGAAATTAAGTAGGAATAGTGGAGCGTTTTTCAGAAAGAGGGCATCGCCAAAAAGAGCACTTTGAAGGAAAAAGGTACAGAGGCAGCTTAAAAACCCAGGGAGGAAATTAGTTATTCCATCGCTGATGGATTTCGTAAAAATGCAATGTCATGTGCATATTTTATGAACTAATCGTGATCTATGCAACCGTATATAAATTATAATTGTTATATTGCACACTAGAGTAGCTGGTTAGCTAATTGTGAGTGAGCAAAGCGACCGAGGTTGCCCCACAATATTATTATTTGCCGACTGCTCCTGAAATGTTTTAAATGTTTTATGAACGAAAATTTTCTCAGCACGCTACGTAGGGTAGTAAAGGAACATAAGCTAAAGAAAGACCAATTGTACCAGATTATGTAACATGAGGAGCATTGTTTTCCACTATATAGGGCACTTTTTGTCGCATAGGGGCATTCAAAAAAAAAGGAAAAAAAGAGTAGATGGCATAACGCAATAATTTTGAAATTGTCAATAACCCATTCAACCAATATTATCAACAATAGTTAGTACTATACGCATCCAAGCCTACTTAGAGAAGAAATCTATAGGTCTAGATAAATAAAAAGACAGAAACACAAATCACATATGAATCATGATATCTATCTAATACCAATAATTATATATTGCGTGATTGCATGCAGTAAGACCTCTCTATAGCGTTTGAGTAATACCAGTCTTCTATTCAATGATAATTCTTAAATGTTAGTCATGCGTTTGATTTAATAACAACATCGTGCAAATTTTAAATACTATAGTGCTGAAAGTGAGTATAAATGCAATGTACGATACACCTGCTGTTAAGCAAAAGAACATATATTACCCAAAATGGACCATTTGATATTCAAGAATACAAAATAAATTTATCCATTAAATATTGCAAATAGTTCCAATGTTGTTTAGAATACTGAAATCCTGAAAAAACTCGTCATGGTAGAGTTTCAAGAAAACAGTTACTATTCACCGCATCGCAGATTTTTGTCTTTTTCGTGACAATAGTTTGCCAAAATCGTGGGAAAAACAAACATAAAATTTGCTATGAGTGTGTGCTTTGCATTTCTCGTTTGCAAAAAAAATAATAGTTAACTTGGTGTTAATTCTTGGATATCTTGTTTCTAATAGCTCAGTTGCTTGGTTTTATGCGACGATAATTCGCCAGTTATATAGTATGTAGTCTAACCAGGGAGTCATCTCTCTGATCTAACGCAGTCTACGCAGATAAATTAATTACATAACCATTCCCCTTTCATACCTGCTTAGACCTAGCCAGTTTCCAAGAAGATTACCGATGGCTGAGAGGGCGACAAAGACCCATATAGTCCACGACCAGCTCCCTAAGGCCTTGGTACTGAAATCCTGCGGTTATATATGTATATATATTTATGTACATAAGGCCATTAAAAAATATACATGTTTAGCGTCCCCGCCCGCTTTCTTTTTTGGGGTCGCCTCCTTAAAAAAAAAAAAAATTAATAAATTTTGTATACATTTTTTAAAATGATTTTTGTTGTTGATTTTTTTAAACATGAAAAACACTGCTAAAATGATCTATTTCTGATATAAACTAAAACAAAAAAATGCCAGCGGCCATTGTACCGAGCGGCCATTTTGAGCAGCCATTTTGAAAAAAGAAAAGAAAAAAAGGCTCCTCCTTCCTATTTTTCAAAAAGGCAGGACGCTAAACATGTTTTTTTTTATTTGGCCTAATGTATGCATGAATAACGTAAGGCCTATATCTGTTACGTCAGGTTGTATATTAAGAATGCTTCAAAGTTAGGTACTATATATAGCAAGACATGCTTCATTACTGTTTGACATCAAACAGAAAATATATTTCTTGACAAATTAGATATTGTCTTAAAAAGTAGCATTGATGGTAACTTTGCCATTAATTGGTAATTCCCATGGAGACCTTGATTGATTGGCTGTTGACTGATGTAGGCATGGTATTTAATATTAATGGCAAAGTTACAATCAATGCTAGGTTTTATACAACAGGGTCCAGACCAGTTACCTTTATTTTTAATTTTATTCTTAAATGTAACACTACTATAAAGCATATTATACTGTGTGCACTTATATACACCAAAACATAACCTGCTGAAGCTATATAGGGTATAGTAAGGAACCTGCGAAAATATATTTCAAGCATTATATAGTTGAAGCGTATATGTTTAAGATCGACCGTGATAATTCATTACCTGCTGAATCCGAACCAACTACCAATGAGATTACCCATAGCAGATAAGGCCACAAAGACCCAAATGGTCCAGGACCAATTTCCTAGGGCTAAAACGCTGTAATCCTGTCAGTTTAAAAGAATAATCATAATTATTTTTCTCTGTTCTCCCCCTCTCTCTCCTCCTGTTTTAATGACAAACATATATATTCATATTCAAGCCACATCTCCCCTCCTCCTTCACCCCTCTCGTTTTTTTCTCTCTCTCTCTCTCTCTCTCTCTCTCTCTCTCTCTCTTTCTCTGTCTCTTTCTCTGTCTCTCGTCATAAGGCTATGTAAGAAGGGAGAGTATGGTGGTGAAAATAACGTTGACAGAAGATAATGGTAGTTGTTTGGATGATGTACTATCGTTGTTGCTATTGACAAAGTGTTGTTACAGTTTTGTTTGGGAACTTTGCTGCTGGGTTGATGAAAAGGATGAAGAGGCGGAAGAAGAAAGATTATTATTGATAGAAGGGGGAGGGGTGGGGTAGATAATGTTTTGATGGTGACGATGAATTTGCTGCTGCTGTTCGATAGTTGAAAATGATAATGATGAGGGTGCGTAGGAGGAGTAGGAGGAGGAGGAGGAGGAGGAGGAGGAGGAGGAGGAGGAGGGGGAGGAGGAGGAGGAGGAGGAGGAGGAGGAGGAGGAGGAGGAGAAGGAGGAGGAGAAGGAGGAGGAGAAGGCGGTGAGGAGGAGAAGGAAGAGGAGGAGGAGGAGGGGGAAGAGGAATTAAGATGTGTTGTTGGTAGTAGGGATAATATATGATAGTTGTTGCCTTGCACTGATGTCTTTCATGATGTAGTATCCCCGACTCTCAACCCTGGCTTTCTTTAGCGCGCGACTCTAATGGCGTAATCGTTATATTAACTGTCATAATCAGAAAAGAGTATGTGTTGATAGTGGTGTGGTAGGGTAACACCCGCCACATGGAGTGAGGACTACCGCTTTCTGACCGCTTTGAAGGTGGATGACTTACCGCAGCGACCGCATTAGACGCGAGGATTTCAGCCGGTGAGAGGAGGGTGAAGTAAGCTATGTTTGCCATCAGGTAGATGATTGTCACAGCAGACAGAGATATCACAATACCCAGAGGTACATTCCTAGTAATAAAATACAAAGATATGTGAGTAGATTATGATAACAGACACAGGTACCTTTATTATTGTCATGCTAATGTAACTAATGTAAAGTAACTGTCAACCAATTCAAAACTTGTCTTAAGACACATTTATTCAAAATTTCTCTTGATGATTAACTTACTCTGTTCACATGGAGATATATTTCAGAGTCATTGTATTTTGTACGCTAATAAGCGCTTTTCGTACAAAATACAATGAATAAGCCTTAAAGACTTCGGTGGAGAGCGCTTTATAAGCACCGTTCTATTATTATTATTATTAAATATAATTGCGAATACCCTCTATCCCCTTTAAAAAGTCTGCGAACAAACTTAGGAAAAGTCTGCTCAAATCTGGTTGATTCTATTCAGATAGACTCATTTTTGCTTTGGTTTTTCTGTATACGTAAAACATGGTGTGTAAATAAAATCGTTCCTTGCATACCTAATGTGGAAAATAATGACTTAGCAATAAACAAACAACGACACAAAACGAAGAAGAATACGAAGTCGAAGAAATAGATGAAGAAAGAAAGAAAAAAGAAAGAAAGAATTAAGAAGAGAAGTCGAAGAAGAAGAAGATGATGCGGAAAAAGAAGAAATAGAATTTTTTTCTTTTAAAGAAGAAGAAGAATAAAAAGAAGGATAAAGATAAGACAAACGAGAAAAAAGTATACTAACCTTTCTGGCTTTTTGATTTCTTCGACAATCGTATTGACTGATTCCCTGAAATAAAGAACAAAAAATTCATAACGATGATATATCAAAAAATGAGTTTAATCAAATAAGGTTTTGGAAAAGTAAAAAAAAACAAGACATTTTTTTAACATAAATATATCAGAGTCCATTATTGTCAAAATCTTTTCATTTCATCATGAATACAGATCATATACGAGATCTCTTTCTCAAATGATGTGAGCTGTATTCATGAAGGACTTTTTAGTTTGGAAAGATAAGAAAGGAAACCATATTCTTGAATTTCTTTTTCAGGACTGTATTTTTACGGTTTTGCTATATTTGATGAATCGCCAAAAGTGAATCTTCTGACGTATTTAAAAAAAACAACAACATTCTTTTTCATTTCATTGTTTAGTTCCGTTGTTATTATAGTTAAAATGAATTCGTTTATGTTCTGTTCAAGCACTGTTTTCCAATTAACATTGTAGATGGGTTTTTAAGTAGTACACTAGAACATTCGATTGAAATTATTATCATTGTTATCATTATGATAATGATGATTATTATTATTGTTTTTAATACTATAAAGCTTCTTACCATCCATCGAAGGCAAAGATACCAGCGAAGATAGCCAGAGGGATGTTCAATGGTAAGCTCATCTTAAACGAGTTCTCAGGATTCAGATACTGTGTATGTCCTGTAATAAAATAAATGAATCAAGAAAGGCTTTAATACTTTTAGAATCAATGCATTTCGATTAATTTTATTTGCACATTTGATAAAAATCACATTAAAAACCATACACAATATAAAGTCAATTCCCACAAATAACATAACAGAACAGAAGTATCAAAATGTGGGGGGACAAAGACCAAAGGCTTGTCCCTAAACTATATGCGTCATTAAATATAAATTAAGTGGTACAATATAATTATTAGGAACACGTTTTTTCCATTGTTTTGTGTGTAATAAGAATCTCTTTTTATTTTGTATACATTATGAATAATCGTGAGGAATAAGTGCTGCAAATTCTCTTCGCAGAATAGCGCTTCACAAACCAAATATTGCCTAATGCCTTTTAATTTCTTCCAATTCACTTAAAAAAAAATCAGACATAATAGAATACAAAGAGGTCAAATTAGGTTTTGCAGTCGGACAACTGTCATTCATGCCGAAAAAAGTACTTCTATCCGTGATTTGTTTTCTTCTCCACAAATGATTGATCAAGAAAAAGCAGATGAATGTCACATTGTGGTTTATTATTGAAGGTTTTTATAATTGATTTACTAGCTGGTCCATTGTGCGGCTCGTGTGATAAAAAACGAATTGCAAGAAAGAAAATAACACAATTTCCGTTTTAAACAATGACTTCCTTACAATGCTCTTGCCATATGCCAATTCGTTTTCTCTTTCAGATTGGAATATCACATAATAAACAAACCGATTTGTTCTACTATTTTGGGATATTACTCTTGTTGTTTCGATTGTCTTGAATAAAAATGAGTAAAAGGCGAAAGAGCTATATTTGAAAAGAGGTATACAAATTAGAAAAATCAGGATCAGGATCAGGATCATGTTTTTCTTACCTTATCTATGTTACTTTTGTATTTTTGCTTTTTCTTCTAATTTAATTCTACGGGTTATAGTCTTCTCTTAATCAGAACACTGTGCGCTTAGAAACATCAGTATTAAGCGCCTAATAAATGTTATGTATTATTATTATTATTATAATATATATATATATATATATTTTGTAGGTTGAAGGAATAATATGTTACCTTTAGCTAGGTAGACGAGTCCTGAGATGATTAGGACGATAAGACCCACTGTTTTAGCCACGGTTAGGATGTTGACCAGTCGAGTAGTTAACTTCACACTGATCGCGTTAATGAACGCCAACATGACTAGGGTAAAAAAGAAAGATAAAATCGGTAATTTTATTAATTCCATCATTGCAATTTCCAATCAAAATTGTTATAAGATATGATTATAGGTTAAAGAAATATGAAGACATTAAGTTTTCGAGAAATATATAATAGTAATGTTTCCACCAGTCTCGTATCTTTGACTCGTTAAGTTTGTGTTTGCTTACCAAAAATCGGGCGTAATAGTGAATAGCGGGTAGGGGGGGGGGGGGGGATGTATCGAACAAAATTTGTCCCCAGTTCTGCCGTCAATTTGTCAACATTAAATAATTCTTGAGGACGAATAATTAATTATGATTATAAAATGATAAATGGGTCTTATTCACACAAGGTAGTCACACTAGTATAAATAATGTTCATCATGCGGACCCTGCAATTGCCAGGTACCCATTTACACCTGGGTGGAGAGTGAAATGTGGATTAATGTCTATACTGGCCCATCTCCCCCTAGAGATAGCAGAGACTTTACTTACAGATGACGGCCATGCCCATCAACCTAAGAGCATGAGTGGGTACCTCTTCACAATCATTAAAGAATGGTGCTGTGATGTAGTTCGCGATGGTGTTCCCTTGTACGATGGCTACAGCAGGGAGGATGATGAAGAGATAGGTCCACATCCTGAGGAATGCCAGCAGAGGTCCGAAAGCTTGTAAGATGAAAGTAAACTCGCCCCCAGACTTCTTGAAGGTCGTACTAAGCTCGGCATAGCACAGAGCTCCAAACAGTGATATGACGGCACATATAACCCACATGATCAGCGACCATCCTGGTGAGCCTCCAGCTCCAGCAAGGACACCTAAAAAAATATAAAGAATGATTATCGTGTAAATTCAAACTAAATTCGAATTAATTATCAAAATGAAATCCACACTTTAATTTTTTTTTCTTCAATACATTACAATTAAAAAAATAGAAACAAGAAAAATAAAAAACTTTCTTGAAAATAGTCGGTATGGGGAAATGGAATTAATTATAAGTACCAAAGAAAAAGGAGAGAAGAGAGAAGACGAGTGGAAATAGAGGTTATTTCGTTGAAATAATACAAGTTTGGAAAAGTGGCTTCTCCAGTCTGCTGTATAAACTCGAATACACAATTACTACCCAACCCCCCCCCCCCAAAAAAAAAAAAAAAAGAAAAGAAAAAAGGACAGGTTAAGTGTCAATATCAAGTAGTGCTTTTAACAAATATCTCCTTGGCCCACCTGTTAGGGAAAACGACCAGTGACCTGTTACCGCACTTTCTACGCATCATTTTGTTTTAAGTGCCAGCATAGAGGCTGTTCACACCGGCAGCGATAGCGCGCGCTAGACCGCGTTATCTCTACGGTGTGGAAGGTATAACGTCGTTTCGGTCCGCCCAACAGCGAGCAACGGCGAGCCAAAACGGCGTGCCACTGGAGCACCTCTTGGGGGTGTTCCACGAGAGATAGCGCGATCTAGCGCGCGCTAGAAAAAAGGGGGTGCTGCGATAGACCGCGCTATCTCATTGTGGTGTGAACAGCCTCATAAGAGGCTGTTCACACCGCAATAAGATAGCGCGGTCTATCGTAGCACTCCCTTTTTTCTAGCGCGCGCTAGACCGCGCTATCTTTCGTGTACCACCCCTAAGAGGTGCTCCAGTGGCACGCCCTTTTGGCTCGCCGTGGCTCGCTGTTAGGCGGACAGAAACGACGTTGTACCTTCCAAACCGCAGAGATAGCGCGGTCTAGCGCGCGCTATCTCTGCCGGTGTGAACAGCCTCATAGTCAATGTCTCCAGACACTATATGACACATCTACGAACTTGAGGGCAGTATAAGACTATTGAATTATCTCATTAAAGGATATTAACTGTCTAGAATGGTGCTCTGGTTGTACGACGAAGGGTTGGAAGGAAAGTACATGAACTTCCAATGTGACAGAGATTGACATGTGAATGGATGGTATTATAAACCAATCAGTCAGAAATAAATTATTGGGTCAAACCCCGGGTCAAGCACGTCCGCTTTCGCTTTCATATTTTTCTTCGCTTTAAATTGTCTTTTAAGACCAAGAGGGCGTTAACTCTGCGTTATGCAGCTTCAAACAGTCAAAAAGTGGTTTACTCAAACAATATCGTGATCTTTTAACTCGAATGGAAATCATAATCTTGATGAAACATGGATAGAAAGCTAATAGGAAATAGATTAAAATAAAACTAATCACTCGTCAATTCTTTTTCATATTATATTCAGAACTTATCATATTTGCTCTTAAATGTATTTTGATTAGATTCCGTATAGGTCTCTATGAGCTCTATAGACCCATTATATTTACTGACTCATCAGTGCTGTATCATTTCGTCTATCAAATCGGTTGCCAGGGTTATTGTACTTTACGACAATGACTCGTTCTAAATTCTCGAGGAAGCTTTTCATTACTTTCTTCCTAATAATTTGAACACTGTTAACACATTCTTCCAGGGCAAGTTTGTCACGTCCTGGCGCTTTCATTTCATGCCATGTTTATTATTTCGACAAACAGAATTAGCGCTGCAGAAACAAAAATGGGTATGGTTTGAATAATTCACCATATAGCTTTGGTCTTAAGGATAGCTCATCTATTGATAGTAGTGTAATGTTGTTTCATGTGCTGATTATGTTCGGTTATATTTTGTATCCAAAATATTCTAGAATGCAAAGTTTCAAAACCATGAACTATTATCTTCAAAGCTCACCCCAGTTTCCCTCGAATATTATTTTCCTTGCGGTAATCTTACCGCCCCGCCCCGCCCAACTAACCACTAGTTGTAGTTCCTGCAATTGTTATATGACTTTTTGTACTTTGCTGTTATCAATAACCCTGGTTACATTACCATGTTTGCTGGTGTTAATTCTACCTGGTACCCTCCTTTATACAAACCGGTTGTTACATTTCCGCTCATTAAGGTTTTGATGGTATGTGTTCTATAAATATGTCAAAATATACCAGTGTCATTCAATACAAGTATAATATGGGGCGAAAATCAACATCCTCTCCCCTACATTAAAACAACACAAACATGTACTACGACAACATGCGTTATATTTGAAGTAGCACTGCACATTGTCAATAAATCACCTTTAAAAAAAAATCCTTTATTTTGTAATATTTTTTTAATACCCCCCCCCCTTTTTTCTGGGTGGGGGGGGGGGGGGGGGTGCATTTCTTATATATTCTGAAGGTAAGCTTAAGAAAAGATTGTCAACATAGACGCAATTAAAGACTAGAAATTTAATTCGTCACGAAGACGAATAAGGTGGTCTGTCTTAATGTCTGATGGTAGATTATACTTTTTACTATATTGAGAAAGGTAGAAGTTATATAGACATGTAAACAATGATAATGATGATCTTGATAGTAATGGTGATGACGATGATAATGATAATGTTAATGATATTGATGATCATGAGCATGATCCTGACATCTTATCAAAAAAATGAGGGGTGATTTAGATAGCAAAAAGTCTCAGCTACAACATGCTAACATTTGGGAGAAAACTGTAGAATAAAAACCGAGATACTGGTCAAAACACATCGTCATGCAGATTCATGTTTTGAAAAAAGTGACCTCCCATAGACATAACACGCAAATATAACAAATTATGCATTGTCGCCTTTAATTGAATATTTAACTATGATGACGTCATTCAAATGAAAAATAAATGGCATATTTCTGATAGAGAATTATCTCAGCTACAACATATCAAAATCTGGGAGAAAATTGATCTCCGGTAAGTGAGATAATCTCAATTAAACAAAGACAAAAATGACGTCATCATCAAAATACATTTGTTTGAGTTTAGATGCCAATATGAAGACTTTGTTTCACTTTGTACGAGTCAGGGTGGTATGAAATCATATCTCCAACTCATGCTTTCTCTAACCATGATATAAAAATTGGGGGTCGATGGACTATCTGAAGAGCTATTTCGATTTATAAAGTAGCATGTTTTTGATCAAATTTACATTATATTGCCCATAGCAGCACGCGCGGAATTTGAACTTTGACGCGCGCTCACGGCCTTATGAAAGGTCAAGAGTGACTGAAATTAATGTAAATCGTCATTTACGGTAAGAGGAATCTAAATCATGTAAACAAATTGAATTTGACCTTTTCCGCGCGTTGTGAGCGCGCGCACCGCGCGCGGGGACAAGTACGGACGGAAATTTTTGAAATGCTTAAAATGACCTGATTCGTACTCTCGTTTAATAGTTCAGTGATTTTGAGCATTTTAAAATTTCGACGCGCGCGTACGTGCGCGTCATGACCTTTATGTGACCTTTGATGACATGACTTGTTGACCCTTGACCTGAAGTATATGTGATATGAATATGAATGAAAAGGTTACTGTCACGTATTATGGCAATGACCTATGACTGTGCCAAAATTGAATGAAATTGACGGAACCGAACTTGAGTTATCTATGGCACAAAAAAGTGTAGGAAATAAAAATAAATAATAATAATAATAATAATAAAGAAAGAAAATTCTGACGAAAACAATAGGTGATCTGTCGTTGACAGACCACCTAAAAATTTAATTCGTCATGGGGACGAATTAGGTGGTCTGTTTTCAATTTTCATGATCATGCTCATCTTTAATTCAATGATCCAATATAATGATGTTAATGTAAAATGATGTATTAAGATATGAATTGATGAATGAAGTATCGATGAACTGATGAACTGATAGATTGAACTGATGTGAAATGAACTGAATTGATGAGTAAACTGATGAACTGATGAACTGTGACCTAAACTGAAGTTAATAACTTAACCGATAAACAAAATATTGAGAAATGATTATGATCAAAATCATGATCATAATGAAATTTAATCAAACAAGACCGGAATGTAGAATGCATATTTCAGAAAAAGTCACCTCCTATAGATATGCCACGTAAATTAAGAAAATTCTGACATGTCGCATTTAAACGAAGTTTTCACTATGATGACGTCATCAAAATGAAAAATGGTGAGATATAGATAAAGAGAAGGAGAGCAGGAGACGGAATAGTCATGTAAACATACATGAGCTGGACAGAGGGATGAAAGAGGAATCAGAATGCACTTGGAAGGAGAGAGTATAGTATAAGAAAACATTTTAGGGGTGAAATAAGAATACTAAGAGCAAAGGAAAGAGCTAAAGAAAATTAAGGAATATCACAAGACATATTAGAGGGAGAACAGGAGCCAGAGCCGGAAAAGGGAGAGGGCGATAGGGATGAGAGACTAGAGAAAGAGAGAGGCAGAGACAGATGGAAACAGAGCAAGTGAAGAAGAGTGAGGCAGAGCAAGAGAGGGAGACAGAGAGAGGGAGAAGGTGAAAGAGTAGAGAGAAAGAGAGATAGTAGTCGAAGAAGATGATAACATCAAATAAGAAACGAAAGCAATTTGACCCACCAGGAATCGAACCTTGGTCACCGGAATGGAAGTAAAGTGCGTTACCGATATACCAAAACATTTCTATTCAACCTTTCATTTTTGCAAGGAGTTTTTTCCAGATCGGCTAAAGAAAGCTTAAGTATAACACCAGTCTTTAAATGTGGTGACAAGTGTGAATTTACAAACTATAGGCCAATTTCTGTACTGTCAGTCTTTTCTAAATTATTCGAGCGCATTGTTTATAAAAGAACTATTGAATTACTTGACAAACATTCTATTGTCAATAAACATCAATATGGTTTTCGTAGGGATTATTCAACATGTATGGCTCTAACCAGTCTTTCTAGTAAAGTCATAGATGCATTTAAGGCAAATGAATTTGCAATTTGAGTTTTAATAGATCTGTCAAAGGC